AGAGGCAGACATGCAGGTAGGGGGGAGAGAGAGGGAAGGTGGAGGGAGACATGCAGGTAGGAGGGAGAGAGATAGAAGGTGGGGAGGCAGACATGCAGGTAGAGGAGAGAGATAGGGAAGGTGGGAGGCAGACATGCAGGTAGGAGGAGAGAGATAGGGAAGGTGAGAGGCAGACATGCAGGTAGGAGGGAGAGAGAAGGGAAAGGTGAGAGGCAAGACATGCAGGTAGGGGGGAGAGAATGGAAGGTGAGCAGACATGCAGGTAGGAGGGAGAGAGATAGGAAGGTGGAGAGGCAGACATGCAGGTAGGAGGGAGAGAGATAGGGAAGGTGAGAGGCAGACATGCAGGTAGGAGGGAGAGAGATAGGGAAGGTGAGAGGCAGACATGCAGGTAGGAGGGGAGAGAGATAGGGAAGGAGGAGGCAGACATGTGTAGGAGGGAGAGAGATAGGAAAGGGGGAGAGGCAGACATGCAGGTAGGGAGGGAGAGAGAGAGGGAAGGTGGGAGAGGCAGACATGCAGGTAGGGAGGGAGAGAGAAGGGAAGGTGGGGAGGCAGACATGCAGGTAGGAGGGAGAGATAGGGAAGGTGAGGCAGACATGCAGGTAGGGAGGGGAGAGAGAGAGATAGGGAAGGTGAGGCAGACATGCAGGTAGGAGGGAGAGAGAAGGGAAGGTGGAGGCAGACATGCAGTAGGAGGGAGAGAGATAGGGAAGGTGAGGCAGACATGCAGGTAGGAGGAGAGAGATAGGGAAGGTGAGGCAGACAACAAGAGGGTGTCAAGAAGACATGTGAAGGAGAAAATCAAGGAGACACTGGAGAGAGAGAGAGAGAGAGAGAGAGAGAGAGAGAGAGAGAGAGATAACTCTTCCAGATGAACTGTCTATAAAAATTGTTCGTCTGAGACTTTTTTTTTCCCTGATCTAACTTACTACCCTCGTGTGTGTGTGTGTGTGTGTGTGTGTGTGTGTGTGTGTGTGTGTGTGTGTATATGTGTGTGTGTTTTGGTACGTGTTTTGGTGTGTGTTAAGGTGTGTGTGTGTGTGTGTGTGTGTGTGTGTGTGTGTGTGTGTGTGTATATGTGTGTGCGTGTGTGTGTGGTCTGTGTGTGTGTGTGTGTGTGTGTGTGTTTAGTGTATGTGTATAAATTACCTATAAAGGTACAGAGAGAGAGAGAGAGAGAGAGAGAGAGAGAGAGAGAGAGAGAGAGAGAGAGATGCTTCTCACTGTCTCGCTCAATCTCCCGTCTTGGGTCTGAGTGCTGGCTCGATACACAGAATTTGTAGCCTAATTTTCTGAAGAATAAATATTTTGTTAAGAAATTTTGTTTTAAAGTTTTTGGTGATTTTTAATACCTTTCTTTACTCACACACACACACACACACACACACACACACACACACACACACATACACACACACACACACCTCAGAGCTGATAAAAACATGTCCTTTATCATGTATAACCAATCATAACAACAACGACAATAATAATAATAAATATAATATAATAATACTAATAATAATAATAATAATAATAATAATAATAATAATAATAATAATAATAATAATAATAATAATAATAATAGTGATGATTATGAGGGGTTATGTATATATGTAAGGAGTTACATAACATATGTGGCATAATAGGTTCTAATTCAATAAACCAAACTTAACCTAATCCAATCCCGACAAAGAAAAACCCTATCCAATCTCATGCTATTACAGTGTAAGAACAATAACTAGGGAACTGTGATTGCAGAGTTAACACATCGAGCAAATACTGCTGTGTAAATAACTCGGGGGGGGTTTATAAAGGCCTTTGTTATCTAAATACCTCATCTGTTTTAAAAGGGAATTGTAAGTGAAAATAATTGGCCCATTGTTGTAATGTATAAAGTTCTATTAGTTTAAAGGATTTTGATAATAGATAATTTACTCTAAAAGGCTTTGTGGTGTAAATATTCTCTGTTTAAACGTCTTATTAGGTGTCAGGAAAGTGTCTTGGGTGGCTGTTGGAGGGTGGCTGTTGGAGGGTGGCTGTTGGAGGGTGTCTGTTGAGGGGTGGCTGTTGGAGGGGTGTCTGTTGGAGGGTGTCTGTTGGAGGGTGTCTGTTGGAGGGTGTCTGTTGGAGGGTGGCTGTTGGAGGGTGGCTGCTGGAGGTGTCTGTTGGAGGGTGTCTGTTGGAGGGTGTCTGTTGGAAGGTGTCTGTTGGAGGGTGGCTGCTGGAGGGTGTCTGTTGGAGGGTGTCTGTTGGAGGGTGGCTGTTGGAGGTGGCTGTTGAGGGTGTCTGTTTGGAGGGTGTCTGTTGGAGGGTGTCTGTTGGAGGCGCTGTTTGAGGGGTGGCTGTTGGAGGGTGGCTGTTGGAGGGTGTCTGTTGAGGGTGTCTGTTGGAGGGTGTCTGTTGGAGGTGTCTGTTGGAGGGTGGCTGTTGGAGGGGTGGTGGCTGTTGGAGGGTGTCTGTTGGAGGGTGTCTGTTGGAGGGTGTCTGTTGAGGGTGTCTGTTGGAGGATGTCTTTTGGTGGGTCTCTGTTGGTGGGTGTCTGTTGGTGGGTGTCTGTTGGAGGGGGGTGTCTGGTGGGTGTCTGTTGGAGGGTGTCTGTTGGAGGTGTCTGTTGGAGGGTGTCTGGTGGAGGGTGTCTGTTGGAGGGTGTCTGGAGGGTGTCTGTTGAGGGTGTCTGTTGGAGGGTGTCTGGTGGAGGGTGTCTGCTGAGGGTGTCTGTTGGAGGTGTCTGTTGGTGGTGTCTGTTGGAGGGTATCTGTTGGTGGGGTGTCTGTTGAGGGTGTCTGTTGGAGGGTGTCTGTTGGTGGGGTGTCTGTTGGAGGGTGTCTGTTGGACGATGTCTTTGGTGGGTCTCTGTTGGAGGGCTGTCTGTTGGAGGGTGTCTGTGTGGAGGGTGTCTGTGGAGGGTGTCTGTTGGAGGGTGTCTGTTGGTGGGGTGTCTGTTGGAGGGTGTCTGGTGGAGGGTGTCTGTTGAGGGGTGTCTGTTGGAGGTTTTCTGTTGGAGGGTGTCTGGTGGAGGGTGTCTGTGGAGGGGTGTCTGGTGGAGGGTGTCTGTTGGAGGGTGTCTGTTGGAGGGTGTCTGTTGGTGGGTGTCTGTTGGAGGGTGTCTGTTGGACGATGTCTTTTGGTGGGTCTCTGTTGGAGGGTTTTCTGTTGGAGGGTGTCTGGTGGAGGGTGTCTGTTGGAGGGTGTCTGTCTGAGGGTGTCTGTTGGTGGGTCTCTGTTGGAGGGTGTCTTGGAGGTGGCTGTTGGAGGGGTCTGTTCGAGGGTGTCTGTTGGTGGGTCTCTGTTGAGGGTGTCTGTTGGTGGGTCTCTGTTGGAGGGTGGCTGTTGGAGGATGTCTGGTGGATGGTGGTCTCTGTTGGAGGGTGTCTGTTGGAGGGTGTCTGTTGGTGGGTCTCTGTTGGAGGGTGTCTGTTGGTGGGTCTCTGTTGAGGTGTCTGGTGGAGGGTGTCTGTTGGAGGGTGTCTGTTCGAGGGTGTCTGTTGGGGTGTCTGTTGGAGGGTGTCTGTTGGACGATGTCTTTGGTGGGTCTCTGTTGGAGGGTTTTCTATTGGAGGGTGTCTGTGGAGGGGTGTCTGTTGGAGGGTGTCTGTCTGAGGGTGTCTGTTGGTGGGTCTCTGTTGAGGGTGTCTGTTGGTGGGTCTCTGTTGAGGGTGTCTGTTGGTGGGTCTCTGTTGGAGGTTGGCTGTTGAGGATGTCTGGTGGATGGTGGGTCTCTGTTGGAGGGTGTCTGTTCGAGGGTGTCTGTTGGTGGGTCTCTGTTGAGGTGTCTGTTGGAGGGTGTCTGTTGGTGGGTCTCTGTTGGAGGGTGTCTGTTGAGGGGTGCTGTTGGACGGTGTCTGTTGGAGGGTGTCTGGAGGGTGTCTGTTGGAGGGTGTCTGTTGGAGGGTGTCTGTTGGAGGTGTCTGTTGGAGGGCTGCTGGAGGGTGTCTGTTGGAGGGTGTCTGTTGGTGGGTGCTCTGTTGGAGGGGTGTCTGTTGAGGGTGTCTGTTGGAGGGTGTCTGTTGGAGTGGTGGTTGCTGGAGGGTGTTTGTTGGAGTGGGTGTCTGTTGGTGGGTGTCTGCTTGAGGTGTCTCTGTTGAGGGTGTCTGTTGGAGGGTGTCTGTTGGAGGGTGTCTGTTGGAGGGTGTCTGTTGGAGGTGTCTGTTGGAGGGTGCTCTGTTGGAGGGTGTCTGCTGGAGGGTGTCTGCTGGAGGGTGTCTGTTGGTGGGTGTCTGTTGGAGGGTGCTCTGTTGGAGGGTGTCTGTTGGAGGGTGTCTGTTGAGGGTGTCTGTTGGTGGGTCTCTGTTGGTGTTGGTGGGTGTCTGTTGGAGGGGTGTCTGTTGGGGTCTGTTGGAGGGTGTCTGTTGGAGGGTGTCTGTTGAGGGTGTCTGTGGAGGGTGTCTGTTGGAGGGTGCTCTTGCAGGGGTGTCTGTTGGAGGGTGTCTGTTGGAGGGGTCTGTTGGAGGGTGTCTGTTGGAGGGTGTCTTGGAGGGTGTCTGTTGGGGTGTCTGTTGGAGGGTTCTGTTGGGGTGTCTGTTGAGGGTGTCTGTTGGAGGGTGTCTGTTGGTGGGTGTCTGTTGGAGGGTGTCTGTTGGAGGATGTCTGTTGGTGGGTCTCTGTTGGAGGGTCTGTTGGAGGGTGTCTGTTGGAGGGGTGTGTTTGGTGGAGGGTGTCTGTTGAGGGTGTCTGTTGGTGGGTGTCTGTTGGAGGGTGTCTGTTGGAGGGTGTCTGTTGAGGGTGTCTGTTGGTGGGTGTCTGTTGGGAGTTTTTGAGTGGTTGTTGGAGGGTGTCTGGTGGAGGGTGTCTGCTGGAGGGTGTCTGTCGGAGGGTGTCTGTTGGTGGGTCTCTGTTGAGGTGTCTGTTGGTGGGTCTCTGTTGGAGGGTGTCTGTTGTGGGTCTTGTTGAGGTTGCTGTTGGAGGATGTCTGGTGGATGGTGGGTCTCTGTTGGAGGGTGTCTGTCTGGAGGGTGTCTGTTGGTGGGTCTCTGTTGGAGGGTGTCTGTTCGAGGGTGTCTGTTGGTGGGTCTCTGTTGGAGGGTGTCTGTTGGAGGGGTGTCTGTTGGACGGTGTCTGTTGGAGGGGTGTCTGTTGGACGGTGTCTGTTGGAGGGTGTCTGTTTGGTGGGTCTCTGTTGGAGGGTGTCTGTTGGAGGGTGTCTGTTGGAGGGTGTCTGTTAAAATGTGACATTTTGTTTTTTATTGTTATCGTTCGTTGACTCATCTAGCGCCCCCTCCACTATACAAGTACCGCCTTACACTAACCAGGTCCGGCATGTCTCGGCAGTAAACTGTGCAGGGAAATATTCGTGTCATTACTCGTCGCCTGGTTAGCTGTGAGGCAGTTAGGATCACAACGTCCTGCCAGGCGACTTGCTGCTGAATGCAACTCGCCTGTTTAGTGCACAGTAAAAGAGCGACATCCCATCACTATTAAGAGTTTTAAAATGGGCGGGTTGGAAGTTGTGTTGTCAGGACGCGACCATTAGAGGGCCTGATACCACAGTGGTCGACCAGGGTCTCTCCTGCTCACGGCTCGTCGGTGATCACATCATAGAGGTGAGTTACCGGGAAGCCAATACAGTAATGTCAATATAGGATGCAGTGAAATGTATGACTCGGTATTAGCAATTCTTTACGAGGAGATCCTCAGCCAGTCATTGTTGGGAGGCAGGGGACGGTTGTGTGTTGTGGGTGGGGGGGATATTGCTCCCCTCCATCACCAGAGTAAGGGCGGGCAGTGGTAAGGTAGTGGTAAGGTACTCTTAAATAGGTTCAACTTTTCTTGCAATGTAACTAAACCAGAAGTACAGAAAGGTTGTGATTCAGGGCGTAATGACTGGGAGCTGAACGTGGAGGCGGGAGGGATGGAGGGAGGGTGGGGTCGCTAGGCTAGTGTTCACCGCTCCTGGATGATGTGATTTATTTCTCTTGTTTATTCAACATTAATTTGTCATTTTGTGTTTGTTACAATATTATTGTTGTCATGCTACTAATTTTTAATAAAGAGATGGTTTTGTGTGTGTGTGTGTGTGTGTGTGTGTGTGTGTGTGTGACGTATTAGCTAACAGACAATAATCTACCTGGAGCGGACACGGTTGGTCATCTGGTCTGGAGACTGGTTTGGTCGCCGTGAGAATAATCATAATGTCTTACCATATCTGGCTGTAGGACCTCAGTAATAACATACATAAAGCCCCCGACTACTATGTTTGTCTACCAGTGTCAGTCAAGACCAATATTTTCTGTAAATTCTAAAATAGATAAAAAATTAAATATTCAGGCGTCATCACGTTAATTTGATGCTAAGCTCCCCACCAGGCCTCTAAAATAGTCTCTGTAGGTGGCCTATCCTCCGGGAACTATTAAGGCGACGAATCTATCTTCTCTCCTCCCGACCTAATGTATGGGGGTATAACGTGATTTCTCTTCATTCGTCCTTTTGTCTGTCTGTCTGCTAGTGATGTATTTGGTTCTACTAGCAGGACCCCGGAGACTCAGTGGATTAATTTGTCATTTGGCGTGAAGGTTCTCGAGGCTGTGAGAGTGTTTTTATTACAGAGTTATTGTTATTGTATGTGAGGTTCATTCAGGTGGTTACTGTTTAATGATTATTTGTTGATCCACTGGACTCCTTGTTCTCCAGGTGGAAGGTGTGAGTATGGTGCTCCCGGCTCCCTCCATGACCATATGGTGTCCTGGAAAACTTATAACAGATATAAAAAATTATTTAGATTTTTAGTGTGAAAATGTTTTAGGATAAGGCTAGTCCAGGACCAGGGCGTGTTCTTAACCCGGGTAATTGTAGAGTAATAGCCATTTACGGGAGAGGGAAGGAGGAGGGGCGGGGGACGTGGGGGAGAGGGGTGCCATTTCCAGTGGGTCTTGTTTCTTTTTGGGAGGGTCGTCTCTCGCTGTTGAAGGTCGTTTATGATGAGGGAGTTAGTTCATGACTGCCGTCCATAAATCACAAATATACCCCGCTCATAACCAGGAAAGAATCATCCATCCGTATTTTGTCTAAAGATGTGGTGATGGTGTAAAATGATGCGTCATCTTCTACATTACACTTGAAAATTTATCTTTGCATTTTTTTTTACCTAATGGCCACCAATTAGAGGTGGCCATGCCGAGGGAAGGGGGCCAGTGGCCCGCGTAGGATCCCTCCATTGTGCTTGATAATTTTTTCTTATGGTCTTTTTGAAGTCCAGTACTGTTGTCGATTCCACAGGTTGGTCCTTCTATGTGATATTTCTTTATGTTCGTTCCTCATGATAACTTGGCTAGCTTATAGTTTTGTCCTCTCGTGTTGGTAGTGCGTGACATCACGATACAATGGCCCGGGTTCATGTTTTCTTTTATTCTCAAAAATTTTAATGTTTCAGTAAGATCTGCCCAATTGTGTTTTGTGTGAAGGGTTGTTAGTCCTAAGGCCTTCAGTCTATTTGGATAATCGAGATGACATAGTTCCGCAATCATCTTTGTCGCTCTGTGTCGGACCTTTTCTATGGATGTTAGGTCTTTCTGGAGGTAGGGTTCTCATACCTTTATACAGTAATCCAGACTCGGAGGCATTTAAGATTTGTACAGTTGAAGGAGCATTTTCCTCTCTGTTGTCGAGGGTACGCTTTATAATTCCCATATCTAGGGTTTTTTCTCACTGCTACCGCCACTTGTTGCGCCGCCTTCAGTGAGTGATCCTATCACAACGCTAGGATCTTTTTCCTTATTGACAGTATCCGGAAGTGTAAATTAACTGCGGTTGTAATGTTGAAGTGCATTTGTCAGTCTCGAGTCCATTTGAATAGCTCGTGCAGAACTTTTTGCCTGGATGCTACTATATAGTCGTATGTTTTAGTTGTATTTGAGAATGGTAATGTCAAACAGTGTGACTGAGACTGATTAATATAATACTACGGTGTCGGTGTATGTAGTGTGATACAGGTGTTCAGGACATTATAGTGTAGTTGGGAAGTAGGGAAGAATAGTGTACACAACAGTGCTACAGTATGGCTCACTCACCCTGTGATGTGTAATTGTCTGCATAATGAGTACTGATGACAGTAATGTGAGAGATCATTACACCTGTAGCTCTCAGGTAACTCGGTCAGTTTCCTAGTAACTCTACCTCAGCCAAGGATATTCTCAGTCGTCACTCACTTGACTGAACTAATAAACTTTGTATTATGTTTGCACTCCATGATTCACCTGTTGCTTCAGGTACAACACACCTGCATTATACAGTTTTACGTTGTGGTCACACCGTAATTTATCCTTTGTTTTGAGTGTTGAGTACAAGGTCGTGTTTGTGTTGGTGGTGACGTTCATGCTGGATGAGTATTACATCACCAGTTGTTATTGTTAGTTTCTGAAGCCATATCGACATTTCAACATTTGAGACAATATCAAATGTATACTCTGATATACTGTAAAGTGACTTGTTTATCCCTTCTATATTTGTACTCCAGCTGAATGAAATTGTTGTGTTGGTCAGCAGTGTTGTGTAATGTGGAGGGCGGTGATCAGGTCACCACATTATATATATATATATATATATATATATATATATATATATATATATATATATATATATATATATATATATATATATATATATATATATATATATATATATATATATATATATATATATCAAGCTACACTACTGCTGGAAGCTCGCCAGGGGACGTGGGCCGGCGGGGCTGAAAGACAGTCCCAGGCTCTCCTTAACGAACGTCTTGTGGGGTCGTTTAGGACAAATAATCGTCTTGTAAACCACCATATTTAGCCATTAGGGAATATTGTGAGGGTCGCCACCACCCTATAAATGTGAAGAGTTTCGTAATAAAGGCCAGACCTTCCTGCCTCCTCCCACCTGGGTGTAGTGGCACGTCTCTACATCCTCCTACACCTACTGCGCCGTTAACCTTGTCACCTCTGCTGCCCTCAATAGCTAGCTGTAAGGTTCATCGTGTAGTGTTGGCCTCTGTGTTAAGGTCATATTGTGCTCTGCCTTCTGTATATTGTTAACATTTAATTTCCTACACACCAATAAACAGGTGACCAACAATAAACAGACGACAAACAATAAACAGATGACAAACAATAAACAGATGACAAACAATAAACAGATGACCATCAATAAACAGACGACAAACAATAAACAGATGACCAACAATAAACAGATGATAAACAATAAACAGATGACCATCAATAAACAGACGACAAACAATAAACAGATGACAAACAATAAACAGATGACAAACAATAAACAGGTGACCAACAATAAACAGATGACCAACAATAAACAGATGACAAACAATAAACAGGTGACCAACAATAAACAGGTGACAAACAATAAACAGATGACAAACAATAAACAGATGACAAACAATAAACAGGTGACCAACAATAAACAGGTGACAAACAATAAACAGGTGACCAACAATAAACAGATGACCAACAATAAACAGATGACAAACAATAAACAGGTGACCAACAATAAACAGGTGACAAACAATAAACAGGTGACCAACAATAAACAGATGACCAACAATAAACAGATGACAAACAATAAACAGGTGACTAACAATAAACAGGTGACCAACAATAAACAGACGACAAACAATAAACAGATGACAAACAATAAACAGATGACCAACAATAAACAGATGACAAACAATAAACAGATGACAAACAATAAACAGATGACAAACAATAAACAGATGACCAACAATAAACAGATGACAAACAATAAACAGATGACCAACAATAAACAGATGACCAACAATAAACAGATGACAAACAATAAACAGATGACAAACAATAAACAGATGACAAACAATAAACAGATGACAAACAATAAACAGATGACAAACAATAAACAGATGACAAACAATAAACAGACGACAAACAATAAACAGATGACAAACAATAAACAGGTGACAAACAACAAGAAATAGATTAATGACTTAATTACAATAGAAAACAGAATGTAATGCAAACAATAACCGATATACAAACAAACAAACAAGTAATAGGCTGAGTATTGAAGAGCAAACACTGGCCAGGAGACACAAACTAAAGAAAACAACAACAAAATTAATGACATAAACAAAAGAGAATAGACACAAGCAAACAATAGGACACCAAACAAAAATAATAACCTACAAGTAAAGGACAAAAACACAC